TAGGAGTTTTTGAGATTAATTGAACATCTTTTGAAAGTTGAGGGACTAAATTGCAAGAAGAAGGGCGCCTCTTTGGGACTTTAATGAATGAATCTTGAGGTTTGGGATCTAAGTGCTCATCCTACAAAAGCTGGAGGACCAAATCTGCTATTTTACCATTGAAGAAATTGCAAAGAGAGACTAGAAACTTGACACAGGTGTAGTGTCGACGCATAATCGAGGTGTCGATACCATGTGTTAAGCGTCCAGAATTTGACTTTCTGTTTCCTGTTTTGTATTGACACGTAATTCGAGATGTCGATACCATGCTTTCAGCATCCAAATTTCAACTTTCTTATTCTGCTTCAAGTCCTACTTCTATTCCAACTAGAGTTTCTAAAATCCTATATACCCATCCAAATTCAGAATTGAGGAGCTTTGTGGAGGTTGGTGACAGCCCTCTTTTGGGCATTCTTAAAGATCAAGAGGGAGGATTCAACAATAGGAGATCAAGGATTGCAATTTTCTCAAATTTGGTTTTATTCTTCCTTGTTATTCTTATATTCATAACTATAATTTTAGATTTTATTATTTTTATTATGAACTGATTTATTCTACTAGGGCTACAATGTAGCATAATCAATTCAACATAGATTTTGTGATTTTATACTTTCAATCAAAATTATTTGTATGAGGAGTTTATATTATTGAACTTAATGCATTTGAAACCTGATCACCTTTTGATTGATTTAGTGATTTATGCATGAACTTGAGAAAGAATTGTGTAAATTAGACCAATAATAATATAAACTATGTGCTAGACTATGAGACTGAGAGGTAATTAGCTCACATGTGATAGTGGAGGAAGAGAAGAGAGTTAGGAGCTCCCCTTTCTTAAGCTAGTGGTTTCCATAGAATTTAATTCTCGTTAATTTGTTTAAAATTATATAGAGATATAATTAATTTAACAAACAAGCGAAGGATTAACTTGACTTAAGAAAGCTAGTTAATTAATTTAAGGAAATCTGTCATCACACAGAATTTATATTGATTGATTATGATGAAATCAATACCTTAGTACCTCATATCTTGATTAGGTTTAATTTAATTGTTATTTTCCTTTTATTATTTTTTAGTTAAACTTTCTTCCTTTTCGATAGTTGAAATACATTTAGATTAATTATTTTGGTACTTAATTAGATACAATTCTCATGGATTCGACACTCTCTTATCATTAAATTACTTGGAGCGACTACTTCACTTGGTAGAGTGATTTTAGTGCAACAATGTCTATGCATAGTGAGAGTTAATGATGAGATAGCTGTGGATATTAAAATAATGGAGATGAACTGAATTGAAAGTTAAAAGAAAGGTGTCATTGACAAACAGAGATGGAGCCAGCATAGGGTTAAAACTGTTTTTATTTTTATTTCTCTAGTAATCGTAATAAAGTGTTGTAAAAATATGTAAAAGTAAACAAATTTTTTGTTTAGAGTTGCACAATTTATAAAAATTAAAACCAAAATTTTAAAATTGCAACCATACTAAATAGAATATAAACTAGTAAAAATTAAAAATTTGTTTAAAACAAATTTTAAGACTAATTACTAAAAATATTTACTTATTTAATATTATTAAAATTATTTTGGTTCTCATTTTTCTAATAAATCATAATAATATATTATAAAAACATGTGAAAATAAATAATTTTTT